CCCTACACCAAAAGCTTCAGCAGCATCATGGTGCTGCTGGAAGGGCGACTAGCTGGCAGGCAGTGGGAAAACAAGCAGACAAGTTTACAAATAGCCACACTGGCACCGTCAGACCTTCGGGTCCAGTTAGTCTTTACACTGATGGCAGCAAGTGACGGGGAGAAACCCAGCATCATCCTTGGGGTGCAAACCCAGGTTTCCACCAAGGTGGCTGAGGAAATCCTATTCTGCGCTGATGAAATGATGAAAAACAAAAGCTGAGGCGGTAAATAAGTCCAGATCTGTTACTCTTTGAAAACTATCTGTCAGGGGAAATGCAGAAGCCCTGTTTTCTGTATCAGTTAAAGTTGCTGATGGTCTCTTTCTGCACAAAGAGCTCCGTGTATGGATGCGTGAAAATGCTCTCCAAAGCCTCAGCAGCAGCTATGCTGGATTTATATACACACGGCTATAAGGAACAGTGATTTAAAATAACCGAACAGCCTCTTAACTAAAGAGGCTTTTGTGATACTGTGATTTTATACCTGGAGCCTTGATATCGGTGAGTCTGGCACAGCACAGTGAGTGATGCTGTAGGAGACCTCTTCTCCGTGGGCCCGACGGGCTGTCTGGTCTTCTCTTGCTCTATAAGAGCAATAACCAAGTGTATGTGTTGATGTGAACATCTCGACTGTGGTGCTGACAGCACTTGCAGCCCACTGTCCAGGGACACTGCGTGACGGACTGTGCCACCCCAGACCTTGGGGCTTTTCTGTCTCCTCGGATCCAGGATTTATGGATTTTTTGTTCCACTCAGAAGTACTGTGGGTACCTCCAGCAAGGAGCCAGCCGGCTGGCAGAAGGGATGCTTGCTGGTTTGCATAATGTGTCCTTAACCTGAACTCCTGAGTGCAAGATATTCTGATTGAGCAGCAAGAAGTATTGGCCTGTTCTACAGGTAACTTGAGCAGCTGAAAGAGGAGTTGAAAAAAAAACACACCAAAAAAGCTAAAGAATATTTTTGAAATTTCCTGTTTCAGAGCATAAACCAGCCTCTAACTTCTGGGCTCCTTCTTCCGAACCAGCCCACGGTCAGTAGCAGAACACGGGACAATACAAGTCCCTGGCTCTGAACCTGCTTGGCAATTCCTGTGGATTCATGCAGCTGCATTTTGTATCTGTGCACAGCTGGGTGTCTGCTCCTAGTTGGTTTTGGCATCAGTTTTGCTCGTGGATTTAGCTAAGTTTTTTATCTCCTCTTCAAGCATCTTGTTTTTCTTCTCCATGTCCTCCCGTGAGCGCTCCACATTCATCAGCTTCAGCTCCAGTTCCTCAGACTTCTTCTTCTCCTTCTCAATGTCCTGATTCAGCCTCACCACTTTGGCCCAGACTTCATAGTTTTCTTTCTCGAGACTGCAAAAAGAAACAGAGTGTGAAAAGATTGGATCGGAGGAGTGCCGGGAAGTCATCATTTGTCTCTTAAGGAGTCTGCCCTCTGTGTCACTAAGCAATAAAATAAGCCAGAGGTGCTGTCCTGATCCCCTGACCCTCAACGGCCACATAACACGATGCACTAAATCAATACACATTATATATAATAATATCATAACAATATGTGAAGCTCTGTAACACTGATGGTTACAGCTAATAATGTAATAATGCTACCACTGAATTCTGGATAGTACAACGGTACAATATTGTAGCAATAACAAGAATTGGGACAGTGTAATTATTGCAGAAACATTACAGTGCTGGACAAGGATGTCATAAGAACCTCAGAGTATTAATATTGTAGTAATAAACATTAGCAGCTATGTCATGAGATTACAGCACATGAGCATTGACCTTTAGGTCGCCTACTATAATGCCATACTTTATCATTAGTCATGACTATTATATACTGTATAGTATTGCTGGTAGATAAACCTGTGCAATGCTGGTGTTGTAATAACGTGAGCTGAAGACTTCATATTCCAGAAAGCAGCACTCTGCAGCGCGTTACCTTTTAATTTGTTCCTCGTAGTCATTTTTCTGTACCTCCATTTCTTTTTCCAGCTTCAGGATCATGTTTTGCAGGAACTCCTTGCTCTCCTGATCAGGCTTGGAGCCCTCGGCAGGGCTGCCGGTGGGGCTGGCGGTTTCCTTTGGCTGATGGCTGGGACTGGGGCAGGGTAGGAATTCCATATCAGAGCCGCGGTTTTTGGAGCCGCTGCCTTCCCCGCTTTCTGCCTGGGAGGTAGGAACGTTATCGTAGGTCGAAGCGCGGTGAAGATCCAGCAGCTTAAAAAGATCATGAGACAGCGTTCTCTTATGTCCGTCGGGGACCACGGAGCACGTGCTGCTCCCAGGGGAGCTTTTCCAAAAGTCACTGGCAAATATGTCATTTTTGTCATTGCTGCCTTTCTGCCCCGGAGAAGCAGCTGTCAGGAAAGATTTCCTGTTAGGTAAAGTCTGAGTTCTTTTCCTCGACTCTGTTTTCCACACTCCCGGTGGATCTTTGGACCCGGTACCTTCTCTGGGTGCCGTTGAGCTCGCAGCTGGTCTGGGGGCACTGCTGGAGTTGAGGTCGTCTCTCTGTAAGACAGACCCATCTATGGGCATTAGGGCAGCCTTGTCCCGCTTTGTGAGCAGAGGCAGGTTGCAGCGACTGCTGTGACTGCAATATTTATAAAAGGCACATTTTAACATGCTAACAGGAATGGCCACAAGTTTTCCATAAAAAAATATTTTGGGTTGCACCATGCTTTCCATTAAAAAGAACCTTTTTGCAGAGATTCTTTCTTTCTGAGAAAAGCCTTTAATGCTCAATGTATTCACTTCACCAGCATGAACTGAAAAGGTTTCATCTATTCTGCCTTTTAGCTAAAAAACTTCAGGAGTTTTCGTTTTTCCCGGAACAGTAGACTTTCCACAGGAAAGTGGAAAGTTTATCTACATCTTTTTCCTGATGTAGATATTCCAGGGACGACAGTTACATCTCTTTACTCTATTAATAGCAAGTGCTCTTAGTGGCTCGCTGACCCATTAGACACATCTATTAAACTCATGCTTTATTATTTCTCTGAAGATCTAGCCTTACCATCTGCCTTTGGACCAAACTCTCTGCCCTGGGCGCCGCAGGCTCCTCTGCAGAGTCCCAGCCCACGGAGCTGCGCAGGATGGGGGCTTTCTTGTCGTTTCTTTGGGCAGGTGGGGAGGGCGGCACATCCTTGGACGGGGGAAAGAGGTCTGCATGGTCACTTATCATCACGGTCATCACTTTCTGGATCTGTGGTGTGCCTGGAAGAAATTAGAGATCTGTCAGGGGCAAACCCAACGCGACGGGCTTTCTTCCACCCATACTTGCATTTTCTGGTTGGTCTTTCTGATGTCCAAAACGGAGATCCACATGGAAATGCAGGTGAAGACAAGGAGCAGGATCATAAAAACAAATAAAGCTACGGGTCCCAGTGATACGGACAGGCATATGAATATCGGGACCATTCGCATGTGATGTCTGTAGGGCAGAGCAGTCTTTGGCCTTAAAATATTTCTTCTATTAGTTCCGCTGCACCTGTCCTTGCCCACGGGATTACAGTTTGCCTCAGCTAAACAGTAATTTCTTTGAGTTTCCTTCGTTTCTCTAAGAAGAATTTTACACCTTCCTGCTCTAAACAAAAGAAAGATGCCTTCACCAAATTCCTGTTTGAATTCTACGGAGGGAACACACAGTGCAACTCCTAAGGGGGTTTTGTCACCATAAACACATTTATAGCCTAACTAACATGTGGCTTTACTCTACCCTGCTATACTTACTGTGCCCAGGCACGTGTCTGGCTTATATCCGTGGGTCTACTGTAGAAAATTTTTAATTTCAAGATTGTGGATGCAACTGAGTATTTCAGCATATCAGGTGCTCCTATGCCAGTTACTCCAGGAGTCCCTTTTACCTCTCATAATAATTGCAGGATCCTCTATCTTGGGCCTGATGAGGTTCACTCCAATCACTGTTGCCAGGTTATCCACACTCATCTTGTTGATGCTAGAGTTCAACTGTATTTCATGTAGAAACCTGCCAGAGTCCAAGGGCAAAGATTTCAAGTCAGCGAAGGAAGACTGCAAAAAGCCTTATACACCCACTGGTATAAAATCCTGATTAATCCATCCAGTTCTTCCTCTAAGGCACAAGGACAGGAACATATAATTGCTTTATAACTGCGAACTGAAGCTGGGTCCTGTTGGTATCAGTAGAAAAACCACCACGTGATGAGCTGCTCACCTAAAAAAAAATTAAAAAGGAAGGGAAAACCCCCATCTAATCTCCAACTAGAGAAAAACCACCTAGACTGGGTGAAACCTAACAGTTTTGTTGCACAAGGCTTTGTCTAGAGAAGCAACACTTGATTTTAATTCTCAGGGATTTGTACGTGAGTCTTCGGGTAGGCATTTGTGATCAGAGGTTGTCAAGGTGTTTATTGCCGTGGCTGAAATTCTGCCTTTACAAAAGTTAGGACCTGGTGCCTCGAGGGGAACCAAAATACGGCTTAAGAGGGCTCTCTCTAGAGGAGCAAGCCTCAGCCTTTGGGGTCATATTTCTACTCACCAACACCAAATCTGAGCTGTTTATACCCCGGGCAGAGGACTGACCTGCAGATATAGCTGAGGAGGTTGTAGTTGTCTCTGGGAAGGAGGGACAGTTGCTTCAGGAGCTCCTGATGGCCCTAAATGCAAGTTCAGAAATAGCTCTATGAAGACTCACAGATCCGTACAGACCCAAGAGTGGCTCTTGGTCACTCCATCCATCCCCGTACAGTCGCACCTCTTGGCATTTGCTCGCCTTGGAAATGATCTTTCTCTGGCAGACCAAGCATGGACATGGAGAAGTTTTTGTGCCGTGCTCAGCGAGAAGGGGCAGCCCATTGCTGCCACAGCAGCGAAGGAAAGAGCTGGGGCCCCTCCAGCCCAGCACGAGCGTGGTGAGCTCCTCAGAAAGAGCTGATCGTGCCTCGTCTCCTGGCATTTCTTGGATGTAAGCATTTAGGATGTTTTATATAGGGCTGAACGTTGCAGTTCACAGAGCTCATGCTACCAAGGATATCTGCCTGAGTTTTTTGTGTATAGGAACAGCATCCCTCAGTGTTTTTTTTGAGGTGAGGGGGCTTCTTTTCCACCGAAATATGTAGTTAGGAAAAGACAGTTCCCGTCTGTCTCTCACTTCTCCCTCTCCCAGTTCCCCACTTCCTTCCTCCATCTCACCCGGAGTCCTCCGCCAGCTCCGGGCTCATCTCGGGCTGATGGAGGCTGCAGGAGGTTGTGTTTCCTTCCTCCCTTGGTTTTCACACTCCCTGTTTGCTGCAAGGACTCAATGAAAAGAGGTGCTGAGGAGCTCTTAGATCTGCCTCACAAATTTAACCTTTAAAATGGATAAGCCCACGTTGTCAAGTTGGGAAACCGCACTGGCTTTGGGAGATTTTATATTTTCAATTTTTTTTCTGGTTGGGTTTTTTTTTTTTCCCCCCAGATTTCAAAGCTCAGTAATCACATAGCTTATAATTCACAGCTAAACATGCACGCAGCATCTCCAGCTCACAAAGCCCTGGCACTGAAACCCAGTTAATTTTAAGGTGAGAAGGAGAGAAACGAATGCATCTCTACCTTTCTCTCATCCGCATCCAGCACCTGACCGCACAGCAGGAAATCCTCGTACTGCATCCAGGGCACGACTGGCTCCGGGAGCTCCCGCAGGTAGAGTTTGAACAGAGAGGCCACGGTGTGCACATCCGTATCCCTGCAAGGTGCAAAGAGCCGCTCACGTCAGCCTCGGACCCCGCCGGTGAGCAAACCCTACCCTCCTCCGGGAGCGCGAGGTTGTATTTAAGCTCTGTGTATAGATGCAGGAGACAGAGAGATGTAAATAGGGAGGCCAAAGCAAGCTGGGGGGAATCCCTAGGGCACCCCGAACCAGGGAATGGCCTCAGCTGGCAGGAAAATAAATGCTTGGCGGAGATTTTCCCCACGGTGGGGCTGGCAGGTCCCCGGTGTTCACACCCGGGCTGAGCCTCCCCAGCCTGCGTTTGACCCACGAGGGTTTGCAGCCGGACGCTGCCTGGTGCTCACGTGTTTGGCAGGCACTCCCCGCTCTGAGCGGAGCTGGCAAAGCTTGCCTGGGGTTTTTAAGATTAACAGCAATTACTGAAGATGTTCTGCTGGGACAGATGTTTGCAGCTTTGCATACCATATAGTTTACATTATGTCAAAAGGACACTGTCAAGATCGTAAGCCTCTAATTTGACCCACCTTGAAGTCGCTCAACTGTTATAAACTTCTAGCAAAAATCACCCAGGTCATTTATTTTTAGGATTGGTTGGGGTTTTTAAAGCACTATTATTTTTAACAAATGCGTATAACCACAGAGGAGTTTTTTCAGAGCTGTATTTTTGTAAGGCCGACCAATGCACACCATTAGGCATCCTGGATGCCCGGGCTGCGAGAGCCGTTCCCTAACGCTGCCCACCCAGCCCTGCCGTGCCGGTGCGTGCAGGCGTGCCTGTGCAAACCCAAACTGGATGCCAAGATGGCACTGAAGGTCGAGCCAGCATCTTGCAGCATTCAGGTCACTGGAAACCCCATTGTTGGCCTCCCTCCTCGCTAAGAGAATGTTTTGGTTGAAGTGCATGGGGGTTTCAGTCGCCCTGAGATCACCACAGCGATGCTCGTACCGAGCCCTGCAGGCAGGGTGATGGGAAAAGGGCCAAGCTCCCTTGCCATGCCCCGCTGCAAAACACAGTTGTGCCAAAAAATAAATAAAAAAAAGGCTTCACCTTCCCATGACCCCCATACAGGTTACAACAGGAAAGCTCTCAGCAGAACTCTGGCACCCAGAAAACAAGAAATATTCAGCTGCAAAACCAACCGTCGGGAGGGTTACGCTCCCAGAGCAGCCGCGGCGCTACCTTGTGCAGCACAGGGATTATTTAGGTAAAAGTGCCGTGGTTTTTCCTAACAAAGCTGCATAAAGCTGGGTAAAAACAGGAAAAGTTTTGCCGTTAGGGACAGGCCTGCCAACAGAGAGACGAGGCCCTGAACTCTGCTTGGGCAAACTGTTTTGCACAAAAGTCCGGGGAAGCTCCTGGGTTTGGGTGCTTCCCTCCCACGAGCACCCCAGGTCTTGCTGGCGGCTCTCAGAGCTCGGGTGATGCCGTACGGGGCAGCTCCCCAGGTCTGCAGAGATGGGGCACTTTTCCTTTATCCCAGCAAGGCGGTCATTGCTTTCACCAGTGCAAACCAGCGGGTGAAGCCCCAAAAGAGCCTGCACAAGCGAGTGGGGGATGCTGAGCAATGCCTTCTACAACCGGGGCCAAAAGCAAGGGGTTAAACTCTGACTTGGGGGTTGGGGACAGGTGGGAAACCTTAGAGATAAAGAGGGACCTGGGGGGGCAGCTGGTCAGCCAGCAATCAAGGGAGGGCTTTATAAAGAGATGCACCAGGGGCATACCTTTCTCCTCTCATTTTGCACGGGACATGGCAGAGGTAACAGTACCAAATGTCTTTTCCAAAGCTTTTTCTGAGACCTACGAGCAGGACAGGCAGCGCTCTCAGCTTTAGGGAGTTTGCCATCTCCTCTTAGCCCTGCGGAGGAGGGGGGTCGGGAGGATGCAGCCTTGCAGCAGCTGAAATCTCTCTCTCATCTCTGTATAATGTTGTAGGAAAGGCAACGGGAGGAAAATACCGTGGCTATGGGCTGGCAGGGGAGGAGATAACTCCTACTGTGTGCATTAGGGTGTTCTCTGAGCTTCTTTGTGATCATCTACCTGCTCTCCTTTCTCTAAACCTCTGCCCTTAGCTGCTGGGCAATGTAGGCTTTTCCTTTTGCCTCCTTCCTTGGCTGCTCCTGTACATGGCGATTGCTGTGTGGGGCCAGGATTTTCCTAAATGCTTTCCTTTATTTTGATGAATCTCATCTCGGCACCCTCTAATTCTGCTTTTGCTTCCATCTGGGGTTTCTGCTGACTCCTCTCCCCTTTTAAGCCCTTCTGGAGGGTCCAAGTTTCCTGCAGGGCACCTCGGGGTGGGTGGGGGGGTTAGGCTGCTTTTCCCCAGATTTTGGGGTGTATGAGACCTAGGAGACGGGGAATCCAGCATTACCGGTCAAACGATGGCCTTTCCCCAGCATCGAACGCGTCCCTGAGCTGTTTCACCAGGTTGTCTTGGCCGGGGAGGCGGAAGATGCCCTCCTCGCTCACGCCGTGCTCCCGGATGAACTCGGCACACTTCTGCACCAGGATGGGGACCTGCTGCTGCCCGAATTTCTGTTCATAGGCCATGGTGTCTGCCAAGCGCTGGCCGAACACGGCTAGGGAAAGGACAGAGAGGTTAGAGGAGCCCAAAAGCTTTGCTAAAGGCACGTTACCTGCCAAAGTGCATCAGGTGCAAACGTGACAGCAGTACCTGCTTTTCTGATAGCGTAGGAGCTACAAGAAGTCTGCAAACTGGGGGAAAGCAGAGCTGCTTCCAAAGAAATAATAGCAAAATGAAACCTTGTTCCTCCTCCAAATAATTAACACTTCTCAAAACGATTAAAACCAAGCAGTGAGCCTTGTTCTTCTGCCGTGCTGTTTGCCTGCCTTGGAGCAGGGTGCTGATACAGAGGCGATACGGGTGATACAGGAACAGCGAAAAGGCTGATGTGAGGGCACAGGGAGAGAAGGCAAACTCATCACACAAAGCTGAAGGATACGGCAAGCACAGGAGACCACCAAGAAATAAGAAAAGCAGCCTTGCAGAGATCTGAAGCTGGAAGTCTTACTGATTTAGTTGCTTTTCTTCCCCCTCTCCTCTCACCCTCCAGCAAGTCCCCTGTGCAAAGAGCAGCAGTATTTTGCAGCGGGCAGCACCTTTCCTTCGAAGTGATGGCTTTTTCCTCCTGAACTCGCAGCAGAAGAAGAGCTCACAGGTGGGAAGGCAGCAGCGTGCATCCCAGCTCTTCCTCCTCGGAGCCTGGAGCATGGTAGGAGCAGACGAATCCCAACTCGAACTCGTTCTGGGGTATCAATGGCAAAGGGTCCTATAGTCCTCTACCACATTTTTGCCCCAGCAGTGCCTGTGATGTGTTCACCTTGTGCTCTGAAGGCTGAAATAATTCCCGCACCTCTTCCAGACCAGGAAAATGTAAGTAAACACTTTCGTCTGGAACCACAGGGCTTGTCGGCACCTGCCTGGTAATGGAAGGTTTTTAGTTGACTTGCTTACGCTTTTAAATAATGAATATAAACCTGTCATTGTGCACAGTAAAAGCAAATAGCTTTTCTTTTTTGTCTCTCTGCTTTGGCAGTTGATACTGAATTGCTTATTTAACTGCAAGCTGGCAGATTTGTTAATTTGGGGATACCTCCCCGGGGCCAATGCGATGCCCGTACCAGCCCGCTCCGCGGGCGGCTGTCGCTGTAGGGTGGCTGCCAGCCCTGCAAACCCCTTCCGAGATTTCGGAGATGCTTTTGCCGTTCCTTCACGCTTTGCGGCTGTTCTGCTCTTTGGTGTGCAGCAGGGGCACGAGTACCTGGGTCGCGTGGGGCTGCTTCCACGTGGGCTCTTGCCGAAACCTCCACCGTGCAGTGGGCTGCTTTTAAAGCACGTGTTGCCTCAGCTTGCATTGAAGCCAAAAATGTAAAGCGTGAAGTTTTGTGGTCTGTTAACCTGTGTATTGACATAAAACACAGCTCCATAGTACCCGACTCCTCTGCTGTCCTCAGGGGTCTCCGTACTATTATAAGTTTACATCTTCTGCCATATAAGGTCACTTTACCTAGCTGGAAGACACTGGCAGCCTCCTAAGTTTAAGCAAGGATCAGATGTGGAGTTGTTATTAAATATTGGAGCCAGGTGGGGCAATGCCCTGAAAATTTCTGGCTCCTGCAATCCTAATTTCAGGTGAGTAATCTTGCCTTCCCCAGGGCACCGCGTGTTTCAATTTAGAGGCAGAAAACACCAGGGTTGCAGAGGAAAACCAGCTGTGTCGTGGTTTAGGTGAAGCTTCTCTGTGCCCACGGCAGGTCAAATTGGCAGCACCCCCTTACCTCTGAACTGCTGCGATTTATATTGGCACAGGAGCTGTGGGAGACCAGAGCTCCACCGTGCTTGTCTTACACACCTTATACCGGGCATGGAGCCTATAAAAAATTCTGTGAATAGTCGGGGCGAAGCGCCGAGGGAGGAGAGGCTCAGGATGAGCATCCAGGTTAGTGCTCTTTTGGAAGACAGCTAAAGAGACTCCCAACCCTGTTCCACTAGTGGATCTTGCTCATAGGAGTTCATCTTTATAAAAAAAAAAGTCTGGATAGTTCATCCTTACAGGAAAAGTGGCTGGAATGACCTTTGCTGCTTCCTCTGCGGGCTTTGCCTGTGGTGGCGAATTTACGGTGTGCTCCTTTCTGATCGATTCATGTTTTATACTTCCCTGACCACAATTTTGTAACGGCACAAATGGATGCCCGCGGGGGCTGGAAGGAAGGACCCTGTTGCCTAAGCCTTGCGTGTGCGTGGGGAGGGTGATGGCGTGGCCAAGGCAGACTGCAGAGAAAATGGGGGCAGAAGGGCTGGGCTGAGCGAAAAAAAAAAAAGCAAAGCGAGGAAACTGGCAGGTGAAAAGCAAGATATTTCAATGCTTTATCCCTGGATATGAGTTGTTTTCAAGAACAGGGTTTTCTGGGCTCAATAAATCAATGGGGAAGTTGGCAAAAGAGGTTGAAACCAGCCCAGAAGTCTTCACTCACGCTTGGCTGCCGTCTCCTGAACACTGCCCGTGTCTGCAGCAGACCCAACGCCACGGGGCTGCTCTAGGAGTAGGTTTCTAAGGCATTACCAGTTACAGTCGCGTTACAGCTCCGTTTTCCAGTTTCAAGGATTTATGAGCCCAGCTTTGAAATCCGCATACAAAAGTACTGCGGACCACGAGATGGTGGGAAGCCCCCTCTCCAAAAGCTGTCTCTGCTCCCTTTTACCTCCTGACGCAGACCCCAGCACTCGTCGGATGGATTTAACCCATTCGTCCATCTCAGACTGGGAATTAGCCATGAGCACGCAGGTGTCCTGCCCTGCCCAGTTCTGGTCTCCAGAAACCCCTGCAAAAAAAAAAACCAACAACAAAAAAACCCGAAACAAAACATTTATGCATCATTTATAGAGAGGACTGGAGGAGAAAAGACACACTCTTGTTGTTTTCTTTGCTAAACGCTTTTGGCTCCGAGTTTTCCCACTCATGTCTATTTGGCTGTGAAATGAGGCAGCGCTCTTACATTTCACCCTTGCCGAAAGTCTGCAAGAAAGGAACAGAAACTGCTTAACGTTGCAGCTTGGCAATGCTTCTCGGCATGGGACGCGGGCAGTGACGCAGGGCCATCCTCCCAGCCCTGACGTGTGAGTGTTGAAAGCAAGACATGAATTTTCGTGTGCAACCCAGCGCTGTGGGGACCTTGAAAACCAGTGGGAACAAAAGGCCTGGCAAAATGACTTGCCCAAACGATTTGGGGTCAACAGTCCAGCCCAAAAGCGTGCAGCAAAGAGGAGCGGAGCATCCTCACCTTGGATGATTTCAAAGATAAATTTCCCTCCTTCCTCTGGGTTGCTGGCCACCTCCTTGATGGTGCTTCCCTGGAGAGACAGGCAGCCCTAGGACAAAGCGGAGCAGGAGCTGCAAATACCCGTGTCCCATCTCTGCGAGGCGGACGCTGCCGTGTGGCAGCACCGAGGACTGAAGTCCTTCTTTCAAACAGGTTGCAAGAGCTGGTAGCCTACGTGTATACATATATATGTGCTAAAAATGACACTTTGAACAATAAGGGATGCTTCTTAAATGCCGGCTTTTCTGATGAAGTGATTCTCGAAAACTGCTTATTTTGCTCTTTCCTTTTTTTTTTTCCTTCCTTTCTCATATATTTTTAACCCCTGTTGGAAGAAGAGACTACACAAGAGAAGGGACTTGGCAAAACACCGGAGCAGGAAAACCTGGTCCTGTAACACAGCGTCTCTTCAACTCAAAAACCAAACCCAAAGTTTGCAGGAGAGGAGGAGGAGAGGAAAAAGAAGAAAAAGGAGGGGAAATAAAAAAGCGAAGTGGACACCGGCCATTTCTTTTGGACCTTCCCTTCCCCAACTGCCGTGGTGAACACGGGGAGCTCAGTCCCCGCGGGAGGGGATGGGTGGGGGCCGAGCAGGCGTCTGAGTCAGGACCGGGGGCCTCCCGGCGCAGGAAATAAGGCTGTGCCACAGAAATGATGTTTCTCGATGATTTCAGCCCCCTGAAAGGCATTGGGCTCCTGCGAGCAGTCGGGACCGTCAGCGCTCCAAAAGCCTGAATTGCAGCTGTATCCATCAGAGTCGCTGATGGGATCAGAGAGGCTTGGAATGACCCGGGATGGCGCACGGGGGCACGGCGAGGGCTGCCAGAAGCACCACAAATAGCAATAAGGTTTTTACGGCACTTTCTGTTCTACGTCCTATTTACAACTGGGGAGACGGCTCCCCTCGGTCACCCCTGAAACGGGGCAAAGCCAGAAATAGGACCTGGATCCGCCGGGCTCAGCCCTGTCCTTTCACCCTGAGGATCTTCCGATTGCTTTCCTTTCATGAAACATTTTCTATCTTGAGATTAGTTTTGCTACCGGTAACAATTTGTACAGGGAATGCTTTTCTGGCAAAGGGGAGGACCTTTCCCTGAAATTTCTAACAACAAGGAGAAGATGGTGGATATTCAAAAAGTAAGTTACAGTATGGAGAAAATGGTTGAAAAACTAAGAAGTTATCTGTATAAATTGGGAAAACAACCTGATTTCTTCCTGGCAAGTGTACTACAGCGCATACCCCGAGGGACGGTTTATACGGGTGAGACAGGCCTTGTTCCAAGATGGGACGATGCTGATGGAGGGCTGTGGACGCCGGGCAGCGGTGCGGACATTTAAATCACGCCCAAGCGGCTGATCACACTCCTGTTTCAGGGAAAGGGTTGGGTGCACGTTGTGCTCTCCTGAGGATCTCAAAGCATCGGAACTGACACGCAGTGGAGCGTTCAGCAGATCTCAAGCCTTCTC